CAAGGCACTGGAACTCCTAAAGGAAAAATTCAATAATTTCATCTATAACCTCTAAAAAAGAGCATATAAGCAATTTCAGTAGAATATGGAAGAGCACAACAGACTCTTTCAAATTTGAGAACTGAGACAACAGAAGCAATCTATCACATCTATGTATGGGAAGAGAATGAGTGAAACACAACTGCAGTGAAACATGGTATGTCCCCTCTTACCAGAAATTTTCACAATCATCTGTATTATTGTAACTTTTAATTAAATGAACATTAACACAGTGGTGACAAAATGCTTTTGTGAGATGCAAGAAAAATTACATCTTACAGCATCCCTCGACATGGTTCATTTCTACAGAAAGTGAAAAAGCAATCATGAGGAAGATAATTATAAAATCACCTTAATCCAACGTCATTTACAAGCTGCCACGTAAAGGGTGGTCTTACTTTCTCTTTCCAATTACTTGCTCCTCCCTCAGGCTGAGGCTAATGACCATGCTAATGTAATGTGCGCTGCATCAGGAAACTGATTCAGCTGAAAACTAACCCAGTGAAAACATTCAGTTCTCATGCTGGATCAGTTCCTGGGTTCCAGCTCATGGCATGATCATATAGACCTTACTCGAGCCCAGAGAAGGAACAGGCATGAGCAGCTGGCAGTGCTAGACAGGGTGGGACTGTCCCTTTCACAGCACTGCACAATTATGCCAGAAGGAGCTGGCTATGTAATCTGAGCAGAAGCATCTGATCTTCTCAGAGGCTAAAATAAGCCAAACACCAGCGTTAAATACGTTCTGCTGCACAAAGTCCTTCCTCTAACGTGCACGCATCAATTGTACATACCAAAGCACTTCTGAAACCTTGCAAGACAGTGGCTTCTGTCTCTTATCAGCAGACACTGATAACTAAACCAGTGGACACTGTTGAAGAGGGAGGCAAAAACAGTCTTTTCAGACTTGCAAAAGAACTACAGAGTGGGGAAGTGGTCAGGCAAGAACAATTAATGCATTTCTCAACCGTGCCTTGATAAAAGTTTTCCTTTTCTCCTCACATCTATTTAATTTCCAGATGAAAACAAATTAATGAGGTCAAACATGTTTTGTTAACAGTACTACAGAAAAGGCATTGACAAAACTGCAGTGAACAGGTAAAGTGAACTACATAGGCAAAAGACTAGGGACAGTCCCTTTTTTATATATATCCCAATTACTTATAGGTCCTTCATAAAAAGAACAAAAAAGGAATATTCTTCTAAATGGCAAGAGCTTCCCATAAGCCCCTGCCATTCTGACAACCTCATTCCTCCGTTATCAGCTTCTCAAAGGCAGATTTTGTCACTTTGGTAATATTAAACTATGGAGAGCCTCAGCTTTGCAAATAAACTGCTATTATAAGTGCTTTATGGCTGTTATTAGTGGAAAGTTTAATTTGCTGGTGTTATATATGCCAAAACTGATCATTTTTCTATGAGTAATTGTATAAGTGTTTTCCAAGTCCTACAGTAATAGATGGCTAAGAAATATATATGCAGTTACAGGGGTCCAACTGACGACAATGATATAAACGAGCAGCCAGACTCTGAGTTTCGTCCCCAGCGTTGCCCAATAGTGAGTTTAGTGAGGATCCTATCAGTTGGGTCATAAGGAGACATCCATACAGTTGAAAATATACTAAAGTCCCACTGACTAGTGTTTCCTATCGGCCCTAAGACCAGAAACACATTTTCTCTGAACATGTGCCTAAAACGCTTTCCTTTAGTTCTAATGAGATTGGAATTTCTCCTTTACATGTAAGGGGCATACCTGGATGCCTCAGTTTGATATCTGTAAAGTAGGATTAAAGCTTTATCTGTTTGTCTGAATCACTACGTTACATTGAAATAGCTCTGCCACTGAGAAAAGATGGAGCTGGCCTTCCTAACCTTAAAGCTAAGTCTACCATGAAATATCATTACAACTTCTATGGGCCTTTGTATCACTCTATCTCAAATCTATACTATTTGTAAAACTAAAATAGCAGAGCAAAATATATGTTACAACACTTGCTAAAAATGACTTATTTTACCTCAAAGCAACCACTTTAATCTGCCTTGAACAGAAACAGGGAAGTCACAAACATGAAAGCCTGTACTGATGTTCTCTACCATTGCACTCATTCCAGATTTCACAGGATCTGAAAAGGTGCAAAGCCTGGAATAAAGTGGAGCAAACGCTACCATTAACATATAGCATGCTACTGGCACAGAACTGGGGAGATCAGAGTGGTTGCAGATGTCAGCCTGAGAAGTGAAAAGAAATCAAATCGTTCAGGGTGGTAAGCATGCCGTTCTGGCTGCGGC